TTGTTCGGCAATAAAAGCAACCAGATTCCTAATAATTTAAATGGTATGGGCAACCATCTCACTTGTATGTAGAACTGAACTAACAACTCATCTCTATAAATTAATATAATTCCATATAAAATAATATTCCCGAAATATCTTGGCTTTGATTTAAATAAATAAATCTTAACATACTCACGTATACACAAATAAATGCGAAACACAAACACTCATGCACATAACTATATCACACACAATATTGTACATAAAATAGTGTATTTGAATCGGAAACAGGTGATTCTTTAGACCTACATTCGAGGACTAACTAGCCGACGGTTAAAAGTAGCAAAGATTAAAGAACGCAGATGTTTCATAATGCCTCTTGTTTGAGCTTAGCTTTTCATACTCGTACATGGTTTTTATTATATTTAACCAAACAAAGGTTACTTTATGTGCCCACAGCTAGGACTAACCTTCTGAAAAGGGCACATATGATTCGCTTTAGTTGACGAATTACATATGTATTTTAGTTTCGTGTGTAAACTCTGTCGATTAAGGGTTCCTTGTTAGAATAGGATTGTGTTTTTTTATAAATAAACAAATAAGTGTCTTTTAAAAAAATATTTTTCAACTTTATAGTTAGTGGTAAATGCGGGAGAGATATCTTTCAGGTTACCACAAAATGATGACCTAGATACGCAGAAATATATCTAATTACCTTCTGGTGTACGTCACAGGACTTTAAAAACGTATCTTCTTCTTCTGGTGCCACTTTATTGTTAAGGTTGGCTGTTAACAACTTGAATTGCCGGGTATCTTACGCTAGTCTAAAAAGTTCCTCGGCGAATGTAATACCCGTCCACACCCGTACGATCCGCAACCACGACTTCTTCCTTCTACCAGCCCGACTTGCCTTGACTTTTGTCCATCATTATAAGCTGCATCAAGTCATATCGGTGATGACGCAAAACGTGTCCGAGCTGTCTCTCTCTATGTTAGTTACGATAAAGTCATCCTTCTTTAGTTTTGAGGAACAGCACAAACATCGTCTGAGCGCGGATTTCGGTTTGATACCTCTGTATCTTAATTCTACTCTTTGCCGTTCCAGTCTAATATTAGTTGCGCGTGCGACGGCCTGCGTTCCCGTATCAGTTATAGTTTTTATTGTACCACCGTCCGGCTTATTTTGAGAATAGTCCTAACTGGCTGCAATTGTTAACAATGTGCTTGTCCTTGTTGAAAGTTCACATTAATTTCTTACATACAAGTTCCAAATATAATGAGAAAATAATAATTTTCAAAGTTAAAATTCTAAATTCAACTTTATACCAGATAATTACTTTTACTTTTAATAATGCGCAGGGTGAATTTCAATGTACTAAGTTACTTTAGTTTCATTTTCGCTTGATTATTTCAACCGCAGTTCCGACTCAGAAATTCACCTTTAACACGTACTCTCTTAGTGGTTCTTAATATTTATTTATTCACAAAAAAATACATGCACTATCCTTACAGTACTGAAACTGTAAATGAAACAAAACTTTTAACTGTGAGACAATTATACTTAACTAGTGGACCCCACAGACGTTGTCCTGCATGATATTTAAAGCGATTAGGATATTAAGCAAAGTATGAAAGTACCGACTGCAGTGCCATCTGCCGGGCTGATTTGTGAATCTAAACCATTCCCAGATCCCCTTGAACACACACAAAAAATTTCATCAAAATCGGTCCAGTCGTTTAGGAGGAGTTCAGTCACATACACACGCACAGAAGAAATATATATATTAAGATAACAATATGCAGACTTTTTTGGAAACAAACACCCGCCGCACCACATCAAACAAAACGCAATCCTATATATAAGCAATCGAAAGCCCTTCCGAGGCCCCTTCATCTTTAACCACTTCCTTGAAAAAAAAATTATCACTTTTCAAAAATCACATGACATACTAAACAACTGAAACAATATTGTTGACCTGTCATATGCTAATACTGAAAATATTCTTATTGTGCAAAAATAGTTTAAATATAAATGTGTAGAAATTGATATAATTTATAAAATACTGTTTACATGTCAAAAGAAAGAGACTGGCTCCCACAACACAGGGAATTCTAGTTAGTGCACTTTACTTTATCTAAATATCCTGTATATTGTGTATAATAAAGTTGTTTCTTTCTTTCTAGTACGAAACTAAAACGATAAAATCGAAAAATAACTATAATTAAATACATTACATTATATCGCTACTGTGAACTCACTCTGCGAACATATAAAGATGTCGATAGTGACACAGCATTCAGTAGGTAACATCTTTGTTAATCTGTGCAACAGACTGGCCTTTGGTATAGCAAATAACAAAAGCCTTGGAGTCGCAACACATACGTCGCACAATGCGGATAATCATAAGTTTCTTCAAGAGTAATAAAATATCTATCCATTACATATGACAAATTAAGAACAAGACGATAATAAAAATATAAAGGCGCTTCACGAATTAAGTGGATAAATTCAGGTATAATATGTTAAATCAAACACTTGATGTGATAAGCATTTGATGTTGTGCTTAGGTCTTGGGTGTTTAAATATGTATTTATATGTCTATCCATCTATAATATGTATGTATATCCGTTGCCTAGTACCCATAACACAAGCTTCACCAGCTTAGCATGGGACTAGGTCAATTGGAGTGATTTAAAAAAAAAAAAAAGATCCGAACAATCCACAGAAAAATCAGAGAAATAGAAAAATATGGAAAAGGCTTTTACCCTAAAAGAACCATACAATACTAGACCGCTAAAAAAAACTAACTTAAATTTAAGTTACAACTTAAACTAACACAACTAATCCTCATATTAAGATAACATTTCTAATCTATCATAATCTATCTAACCAGTTTTTGTATGGATTTTAAAGCTCTATTAATCTCTTTAATAATTAATAATAAAGTATCTTTGAGCCGAATTTTGATTGAAATTGCCGAAAGCAAATATTTATCAACACTTATATGAATTAATAAATATTTATACTCATTCCGCGATGAAAGCCACAATCAACAGAAAAATTTAAAATTCAATTTTCGTAACAACCTCGACAAGCGATTTCCCTTATGTATATGAAATATCCCATATTCCATGATTTAGCAAAATGGACTACAGCGCCTAATCACCAAAAACAACAACCTCTAGGCCTCAAATCTTTCGTGATCTTTTTCATAGAAGGTGATTTAATACAGCATACGATGAAGTATATCGTGAGGATATCTGGTTTCGTCACGATATACTTCATCGTATACTGTATTAAAAGATCCATTGGTGCTGGATTTCAGGGTTTCGAAGCACACGTTCCACCCTAGGCCTACACAGACCTAAATGCCTATTTCAATTTAGAATAATCTAGAAAGATTGCCAGATTGCACGTTTGATAAAAAACATAACCTATTTTTACATTGTTAAGTAAATAAAAAATGTTAATAGCAGTTCGTAAACGTTCATAAACAAATAAACAGATGCATTGATGTTTTCAGAACATAAACAGTATTGAATTAAGGTTTATATAAAAAACATTAATTTAAATAATAATAAAATTAATTCTTCATATTTATCAAAATATTTTGTGCACAAAAGAAACGTTTTGTCATATTTTTTCTTGTTACGCCTTACAGTTATTTTAATTCTTTTTCATTATTCCAATTTGACGGTAAGGGATAAGAGAATTATGTCACCAATTACCTAATAATTACTATAAAATATAGCTAGTCTATCAAAGTAATTCTCGCTTAAATTCAAGAGCTGGATAACGTTGTATTAATTAGTGCCTACAAATCAAAACTAAGCGATATAAGGACTAGACCAACAAGAAGAAATATAACAAAACGTTTCTTTTGTGCACAAATTAATTTATTGTCAGAGTTGAATTATTCGTTTGTCGAGATTATCGCGGAGCTAATGTTCGGCGATTTATCTTTTGGGAGATCCAACTGAAACACTGTTTATTGCTTCTATTTCGTAATACTTATTTTTAAACTTATCATTGGTCGCTATGGAATTTTATTTTTTCACCTGATTTTTATTTAGGTAATTCACGATGTATTTGAATGATGAATTTAAATTTGGCATGGATTCTTGTAGACCATGGGTGCTCTTATTATGTTGATCTATCCATGAAAAGTTGTGCAGTATTCAAAATCGCATTGTTAAAATGATGAAATAATACATAGTTTCTAAACGGAACATACTTGGTTCGGTTTTCGTTCGCACACATTCAATACTATTCTACTAAAGTTGTTATACATATGACAGCAATTAAAATGTTTTGAGTATTCTATCAACAAGAAACCAAATTTATATTTAGAAACAATGAAATCCGAAAAAAAATATTTACGAAGAATTCTTGGTATCCAACTCATAACAGCTCAGTAATATATTTTGCAATAATTCACCTCTATTATCACTTAATGTATTATTGCGCCACCTAGTTTATGTTATTAAAACTACGGCAATGTTGATAAAATGATCTTGTTACACATTGTTATTTATATGCATAATTATTTTACGTTATTGCTAATGACTTAGGAATTGCATTGTACTAATTTACATTATTCATACTGTAAGCGAATCTTGACAGTTAAGCTACGATATAACTTTGAAAGCTGACAAATGATAAATGACAATTGACAGTCTACTTAATCTTCTTGCCAAATTCGCGATATTCCGCCACCATCTCTCTTTTGCTTTGACATTTCGTTCAAGTAAACGTTTATTTTACGGCACTACACGTTTCGTGTCATAAGACTTAAAGTAAGTTAAAATTAATTAAAATAAATATAAAACTGATCTTATAGCGTGGTTCCGTGCATTTAATTAAGTAGTAATATGTTTAAAGTGATTATATTTCCAAGATTAACTTGGATGAAAAGTGCGCGTTTAAAAATAACCTAATTTTACATATCTTTCGATAGTACTATTTAGGATTTCACGCATCTTTGATTCAAGAGTTAAACGGTTAATTAAATTTCAGAATGCGTTACGTGGCCGCGTATTTGTTAGCCGTTTTGGGCGGTAAGGCGTCACCAGCCGCAGCTGATATCGAAAAGATCCTCAGCTCAGTCGGTATCGAAGCTGACTCCGAGAAACTGAAGAATGTTATCTCGAAGTTGGAGGGCAAGACTGTCGATGACTTGATCGCTGAAGGTTAGTTTTTTTAGATCCAATTCTTACCATGTGTTTACATGCTTGTATTTTGAAACACACAGGCCTAACCTAATACTTGTGTTAAAATTGATTAATACTTATCAAATTTATATGTGCGTTCTCATGTTCTATCACAAAAAATACCATGAGGTCGTGGCACGGTTTGGTGTTGTGGTGAGATACTGTACGACTGCTTTCATAATTTTGTACCCTTGTTAATCTAACACTCGCCAACCGTTTCTTTTTGATATAATGTTACGGTTAAATCTAAGCTAAAACCACCTAAACTTATTACTTTATGATGATATTCAATAAACACCATCTTTCGGCTGAATAGCATTGATGTTAATTTCATATCTGATGTTAATATTAAATGTCCTTTTTCATAATAAATGAAACACTGAAACTAATTACAAATTTGTTCATTTTAGGGCGTGAGAAGCTCTCTTCGATGCCGGCTGGTGGTGCAGCGCCGGCCGCTGCTGCAGCTGCTGCCCCTGCTGCTGCTGCTGAGGAAAAGAAAGGTTAGTTACTGGGTTACTTTATTTATGTATGATAATAATATGTGGATTATTTAACGCTTAAGACATACTAAGATATTGCCTTTATGTGTTAAAAAGTAATACACAGAAAAAATATTTTGCATTGGGTATCATTTAGTTGAATTGTAGATTTTTAATTGGGATGTCTTAAAACTTAACTGATTGTTAAATTCTAAACAAAACTTTTAAATTCAATTATTATTTCATTATTTACATGATGATTAACATTATCACCATCTTTCGACTGAGAAACAGTGCTGTTATTTACATGTTACTGATAATTCTTAAATTTAATTTGTAATCTATTTTGAATGAACAATATTTAATATTCCCAATATTTGCAGAAGAGAAAGAGGCGAAGAAGGAAGAGTCTGAATCTGAGGATGAGGACATGGGCTTCGGTCTCTTTGACTAGATACAACAAACAGGTAAAAAATTTTTATTTATATTTATACCATAAATATGTCATGTTATTGTACTTTTTAAGATATTAACTTATCGTCAGAAGCTTGGCTAACATAAAAAGAAACATGTTTACTGAGAACAGCATGATTTGGCTCTGAAATCATTCATAAACAGCCTGATTTGTTGATATGGCCAACTTTTAGGGTAAATTTATAAAACATTGTGTTTTACAAAATTACCATGTTCTTGAAGGTTCCATGCATGGTTAAGCATATTTCTTGATTAACTTATCTATTCAGTCAGTCCTTATATATTGTTTAACATATACCTCTTTGTTTCAGCTGACGCGGAGTACGCGGTTTTTATTCCAATTTTTGGTATAAGAGTAACAGTGAGAATGTTTCTATGAAATATATCTTGCTTACATATTGCTGATGTTTTATTTAACCCAAAGTATAGAATATATCGCTTGCCTGGGGAAGAAAGTCGTAAAAGAAAACCTATTTTTTTTCTCAGGAAAAGTATAAGATTGTAATGCTAATACTACTAGGATACTAGAACATTACATATATCAAATGAAAGCTATTTTTCCTATTTGACTATTTAAACATGGTTAAATATACATTACAGTAATTTATCTGATTAGACTAAAGAGCTAAAGCGTTTACGATTGTTTCACTGCTTAAACATAATTACTGATGACATGACGACGCGACGGCACGTTGGACGAATGTTTAGAACTAAAAATCTATTACCACTCTTTGCGGATACTAACTACCCTTTATTCGTTTTTCAAATGTCGCATTATCTTTATTATTATTTGGTAGAAAAACAATATAAACTTATCTATCTTTATGGTTGTTGGGATCTGTTTCAGGGGAGGTAAACAAGTATTAGGTACTAACATTGTGTACAAAATAATTTCCGTAGAAGAAAGATATCCTCGTGTTTTTACAATAAAATGTTTTGCAAAAATTATGAAAATAATTACAGTTATAGTATTACCCAAGGAAGTCAAAAATGAAAAACATTAAAATATGTAGTCGTATTAGTGCGTTACGATTTTGTTCCCCAGGACAAGCGATATGATAGATAGCCCAAGGTTGGCAGCAGAGTTTTCAAAGTAATTTATCAAAATATCACCTCACAAATTATACTAAAAACAAAGAAATATACAGATTGCTTATATATATTTAATTACTAGAACAATAATTGAGACTTAACGAAATATGAATATTTAATCGGCCCGATAAGAGGTGCACAACAAACAATCTATATTATGGACTTATACTAATTGAGAATTTGACCGGTCCGATGTGAGGTGCGTACAGACTATATAACATAACATGTTATACAACATTGCTATATAACATATTTCAGATAATGTGGACACTGAATGTTATAAAACATGTTATAATAACAAGTTATTGATATGTACCACAATGTTATATTGTTTGTTATTGATATGAACCCAGCATCTAGTTTTTTTTTTTTTTGTTATTTAAAATTACAACAGTCGCTGCCGAGCCAGCAAAACGTCCTCTTGTGTCGACATTGTGGATAGCACTGGAGAATAGGTATGTGAAAAAATAATCGATTAATAAAAAAAACGAATAATTTTTAAAGAAAAATCGATTATTTATTATTTATTTACAGCCTTATATCAGAAATACTAAATATATACATTATAACTGTTATTTTTCTTAATCTACGATAACTGATTTGTGTGCCTACGGGCAAAGGCCTCCCCCATTGTCCTCCATTTTTCCTTATTGTATACCAATCTCGTCTAGGTTTTAGTCTTTCCTGCCATTTCCATGATTTCATCGGCCCACCTTTTAAATTGCCTACCTCTTTTCTTTTATGGCCTCTTGGTTGCCATATTTATTCATAAAACCCATTTTTTATGCAGAATGTCACATCCCTACTGGAGAACGACAAACGACAATGTTATATAACATTGTTATATTGCATTGTTATTCTAATGTGTACAGTATTGTTTTATGTTATAATGTTGAAAACAAGGTTACAACTGTGGACGTGTTATAAGACACAAGTTATATAACATGTTACATAGTCTGTAGCACCCTGAGGTATCCGATCAAAGCTGTTGGTAGGGATGTGGAAAAATAATCGATTTTATACGCGATTTTTACATTTGAAATAATCGATTATTTTTATTATTTAAAATCAATCATAGTCGATTTTTTCATCTGCCACCTCCCGAAATTATGTCTGGTCTTTTATAACCCGGACCTCGACCTATTAGGGATATTCGATAGACATCGATGTTTACAATGCGATACATTGAATCCGATTCTTTGAAGATGTATTGATTTACTCGATGATTGTTTTTTTTTGTAAAACATGATAAAACCAGTTAATTTTACAAAAACTCAAGTTTGAATAGAACACTATAATTTAAAAAGTAAAATAAATTTATTCAGCAGCACAAGATTACATGCGATTAAAAAGACAACAAAAATACTGCAATGTGCTACTGAAAAGGCATACACTCAGCATATATCAAAAATCACCTAAAAATATCAAAAGGAGATTAAGTTGTAATGTCACATGCCTAGTGTTGGTGTCTGTTGTCCATTTTCTTTTATAACGGTGTTGCGTCAGAGGGGTATAGGTATTGGTTATGCGGGGTAAAGGGAGTGGAATGGATATGTAACGGTGCGTACAGACTATATAACATAACATGTTATACAACATTGCTATACAACATATTTCAGATAATGTGGACACTAAATGTTATAATAACAAGTTATTGATATCTACCACAATGTTATATTGTTATGTTATTGATATGAACCCAGCACTAGGTTTTTTTTTCTTTTGTTATTTAAAATACAACAGTGCTTCCGCAGCCAGCAAAACGTCCTCTCGTGTCGACATTGTGGATGTGGAAAAATAATCGATTATAAAAAAATCTATTAAAATCGTTTTTTTACGCGATTTTTATATTTAAAATAATCGATTATTGATCGATTATTTTTATAATTGAAAATAAATCATAGTCGATTTTTCCACTGCCACCTCCCGACATTATGTTTGGTCTTTTATAACCCGGACCTCGAACTATTACGGATATTTGATATACATCGATGTTTAGAATGCGATACATTGAATACGATTCTTTTGAAGATGTATTGATATACTGATGCATTGATGTTTTTTTGTAAAACATCGAAAGGATGATAAAACCAGTTAATTTTAGGTGCAAACACTCAAGTTTGAATGGAACACTATAATTTAAAAAGTAAAATAAATTTATTCAGCAGCACAGGATAACATACAATTAAAAAGACAACAAAAATACTGCAATTTGCTACTGAAAAGACATAACTAAGCATTTATCAAATTTCACCTAAAATGTATCAAAACGAGATTAAGTTAATTTCTATTTTGATTATTCTTAAACGTTAATTTGTGTTTATAATTTCTATTGTTTATTCTTCAGTAAAAAAAACCATAAAAAATAAGATATTTAGAGTGATTATTTTGAAATTAATTCAAAAATTAGGAAAAAATCTATTAATAAAAAGAAAAATCGATTATTTATTATTTATTTACAGCCTTATATCAGAAATACTAAATAAATACATTATAACTGTTATTTTTCTTAATCTACGATAACTGATTCTGTGTGCCTACGGGCAAAGGCCTCCCCATTGTCTCCATTTTCCTTATTGTATACCAATCTCGTCAGGTTTAGTTTCCTGCCATTTCCATGATTTCATCGGCCCACCTTTTAAATTGCCTACCTCTGTTTCTTTTATGGCCTCTTGGTGCCATATTTATTAATCGATTAATAAAAAATCTATTTTTTATGCAGAATGTCACATCCCTACTGGAGAACGACAACGACAATGGTTATATAACATTGTTAGGGTGCGTACAGACTATGTAACATGTTATATAACTTGTGTTTTATAACACGTCCACAGTATGTAACTTGTTATTCAACATTATAACATAAAACAATACTGTACACATTAGAATAACAGGTGGTACAGACTATATAACATAACATGTTATACAACATTGCTATATAACATATTTCAGATAATGTGGACACTGAATGTTATAAAACATGTTATAATAACAAGTTATGATTGTACCACAATGTTATATTGTTATGTTATTGATATGAACCCAGCATCTAGGTTTTTTGTTTTTCTTTTGTTATTTAAAATTACAACAGTGGGAGCCAGCAAAACGTCCTCTTGTGTCGACATTGTGGATAGCACTGGAGAATAGGTATGTGAAAAAATAATCGATTAATAAAAAAACGAATAATTTTTAAAGAAAAATCGATTATTTATTATTTATTTACAGCCTTATCAGAAATACTAAATATATACATTATAATGTTATTTTTCTTAATCTACGATAACTGATTCTGTGTGCCTACGGGCAAAGGCCTCCCCATTGTCCTCCATTTTTCCTTATTGTAACCAATCTGTAGGTTTTAGTCTTTTCCTGCCATTTCCATGATTTCATCGGCCCACCTTTTAAATTGCCTACCTCTGTTTCTTTTTATGGCCTCTTGGTTGCCATATTTATTCATAAAAACCCATTTTTTATGCAGAATGTCACATCCCTATGGAGAACGACAAACGACAATGGTTATATAAATTGTTATATTGCATGTTATTCTATGTGTACAGTATTGTTTTATGTTATAATGTTGAATAACAAGGTTACATACTGTGGACGTGTTATAAGACACAAGTTATATAACATGTTACATAGTCTGTAGACCCTGAGGTATCCGATCAAAGCTGTTGGTAGGGATGTGGAAAAATAATCGATTTTTATACGCGATTTTTACATTTGAAATAATCGATTATTTTTATTATTTAAAATCAATCATAGTCGATTTTTCATCTGCCACCTCCCGAAATTTGTCTGGTCTTTTTATAACCCGGACCTCGACCTATTAGGGATATTCGATAGACATCGATGTTTACAATGCGATACATTGAATCCGATTCTTTGAAGATGTATTGATTTACTCGATGCATTGATTTTTTTTTGTAAAACATGATAAAACCAGTTAATTTTACAAAAACTCAAGTTTGAATAGAACACTATAATTTAAAAAGTAAAATAAATTTATTCAGCAGCACAAGATTACATGCGATTAAAAAGACAACAAAAATACTGCAATGTGCTACTGAAAAGGCATACACTCAGCATATATCAAAAATCACCTAAAAATATCAAAAGGAGATTAAGTTGTCAATGTCACATGCCTAGCTGTTGGTGTCTGTTGTCCATTTTCTTTTATAACGGTGTTGCGTCAGAGGGGTATAGGTATTGGTTATGCGGGGTAAAGGGAGTGGAATGGATAGTAACGGTGCGTACAGACTATATAACATAACATGTTATACAACATTGCTATATAACATATTTCAGATAATGTGGACACTGAATGTTATAAAACATGTTATAATAACAAGTTATTGATATGTACCACAATGTTATATTGTTATGTTATTGATATGAACCCAGCATCTAGGTTTTTTGTTTTTCTTTTGTTATTTAAAATTACAACAGTCGCTGCCGCAGCCCAGTCCCACATCTGTTTAACGTGTGGAATTGTACGATGACAGGAACATGAGGTCTAAAAATCCATTTGTAAACTTTCTTAAGGCACAAACGGTTGTAGCTTTGCTGGATTAAAAATAGAGAAAACCACACAAAATATTTTTGTTTTCTACTTTATTCAATATAAATCATTTATTATTTTTTATACATCATAAAAGATAACTAAAGATAAAAAAATAATCCTTAACATTATAAGATAGTATGTTTACGTAGATTAAAATAATTTTATGGCAAACATCTAAAGCATTGTTGAATAATTTATATTAAATCTGCTATTGTTCCATTTATGTAAGATACATGATATAATGATGGACTGTTGTTTACATAATATAATGTTAATGTACCAATTAGTTCTTTAATGACATTCCATTGTCTGTAACATATATAGAACCAGTTATTCCTTTAGCCTTCTCACTAGCAAGGAATAAAGCAAGATCTGCTATTTCTTCTGGCTCAGATATTCTATCCAGCGCTGTCTTCTGCTGGAAAGCCTCCCACGGAATGGGTGTGCCAGTATTCTCCAGAATATCAGTACGAACTGGCCCAGGGCTTATTACATTGACCCTAACTTTATGAGGCGCTAGCTCCAGGGCAACATCTTTTGAGAAATGGTTTAATGCAGCTTTAGAACACGAGTACATCATCAGAGCTGGTACGGAGGTTGTCCTTTCACCGCCAATACTGGATATATTAATAATATTTCCTTTCGTAGCAATTAAATGTGGAGCGGCCAATTTAGTCAAGTGCACAATAGCTTTAAAATTAACGTTCATTACTTCGTCGTATGATTTTAATATATCACCAACTAAAACGCTACCCATGGTAGACGTTCCAGCGTTGTTAACTAAAATATCAATTTTACCGAATTCCTTGATGGTTTCGTCGACAATTCGTACTATGTCTTCCTCCTTGCCTAGTTCTGCTTTGACAATAAGAGGATTTTTGCATCTGGCGGCCACGGCATTTAATTTGGTCTCATTCCGACCAACCATTACTACTTGAGCTCCTTCGCTGCTAAATTTCTCAGCGATTGCGGCTCCAATACCAGAACTCGCCCCCGTCACTATCACGACTTTCTCGTTAAAACTCATTGCACTTAAAGTTATCAATACGTGTTACTTCGACAATATTCCACAGGACACTGAACTGTGAACAGACAATTATATCAACGAAGCTCCGCCTTCACCTTGAAATACGTGTACAAGACAAGGAATTAATCTAGGTACTTGCTTCGAAACCAATCGCAAACAATTATTGCATGTACGGTGTACCTACTATGCAGTATTTGTTTAATATTGTCCTATACGTCATAAATATTTGGCACTTCCAAAAATAAATTGTTACGTAACTACAGATAAAAGCGTGTGGTATATTATCGTAAAGGAAGCCATTTAATATTATATTCGTAAAATGAAAAATTTTCGAACACCAAAACTACCTACTGGTAAAATCAACAAAAAATACAAAGGTACTTAATGATAGTTTTCTAAATTGTTTTATGGTAAACCTTTCTTATCACAGCGTAAATCGATCGAATCGATAAACGATAACAGTGTGTGTCGGTAATATTTAATTTCAAATTAATATATATATATATTGATTTAAAAATATTGTATATTAATGCGCATTTCTGCGTATATTTTCCGGTGATTGATTATTACAGCCATACCTATCACCGATACTTGTGAGCATAATTATGTCCTTCAACTTCAAATATTGAATTTTTTGTAGGGACTACTTACCAAGACTTCTAATTATACGCCGTTTATTTATTTATTTTTATTTATAAATACTTCGTTGCATTACAATAAAAAAATTGAACATAATTAAATGAAAAGGAGGGCAACTGGTGGCCTTATCGCTTTCGAAAGATCTCTTCCTGTCAACCATTGTGAGAGAAAAAAATTGTATTAATATAGATAAGGTAGGCAAGAAGTGCCAAATTACATATTATAGTTATTAAGAAAAAAAAACTAAACAGGAACAGAATACAAACTAATCTAATAAAGAATACATGAAAAAAGAAAGTAAAAAGTTTACCAAGTCATGGGATTGTAACTACAATATTAATCATTAAAAAAAAAAAATAGTTTTAATGTGATTTATCAGTCAAAAGCTCCTAATGTTTTATAAAATACACAGTAGAAGCATCAATCACACATCAAGGGATTTTATAAGGTATATTTAAAGTTAAAACTATTTTTGCCTTTTATTATTTTAAAAAATTACTGGACAGTTGTATTTCATGCGTTTTCAGTCTATTTCAAGCTTTTTAAATGACCCTTCTAAGCCGCCAAATATGTCCGAAATAGTTTTTGCCTTTCCTTTTCTCAGCGCTTCTGTCACTCGTTTATTGTTTTCATTTTCAAAAAACGCTTTATTAGCCAGTAACTTCTTTAATACGTCATCTGAAATGAAATAATATTCTTAGTGGTATGAATATAAATCTAAATTAACGCCTGATAAGTATTTGAGTTAATTGAACTAATAGCCTACTTTGAGTCATGGATCTATGTAGGTATGCTTCTAATAAAACGCTGTTACTCCACAATTATTTTAAAAGTATGTTCAAATCTTTTAAAAAGTTTGGTCCCTGTGGCAGTGTACCTTTAAATTTTATGCTGGCAGCATTTCCTCGCTGTATTGCGATACTTCGTTGTTGTTGCGATACCGGTACTACCAGGCGCTAACTTAAATCTTTAGTTAGCGCCGGTGCAGTTTGCACTTGAACCCTACGGTCTTCCAAGTCTCTACTCCAAAGGTAACAAAATCAAAGTTGGAGGAAAGACTCTTATATTTGAGCCGTATATCTTTTATAACATATCATTTAGCTTTTTTTTCTATATGTTAGAACTCAATAAAAGAAAACAATTACCTTTGCATTCCAAAATCGTTTTGTAGCTCCCACCGGAATCTTTTGGGAGACCTTCAATCGGGATCCACTGCTGTAAAGTATCTGATCCAGTTGTATGGACTCGAAGCATTTCCATTAACTCCTTCTTCATAAAAGGCTTCATCATCATTACGAGTTTATCCACCCAGGATGGAGCATTAACAAAGTGCATGCCTTTAAATCGTACTAACATAGTTTCCTGAAGAGAGAAAACTTTAAAGAAACATACTCGTAGGTATTTGATTCACACTCTACGTAGGGCTGCCAACGAACGTAATCAAGGCTTCTTCTGATATTTACTTTTGTATATGCCTAATACTTTATTTCCAATATGTAATAAATTAAAGTATATCACACAAACTGTTAGGAGGCCGGTCAAGTATTAGGTGAGCACTATAGGGGGAGGGGGATCTTTGATTACGTCAACAGTAATTTATTTACTTTTTTACACATATTACCCACACATTGTCTATGCTTGTAAACGAAATATATTTTCGAGGATTCCTAATACGCTTATTTACAGATACCGGCAAACTTCTTGAGCATTAAACAAGGGAGTGGGGGAAAGTTTGCGCATCTGGGACACAAACGTCACTGATTTACCAATCACGGGATCGACACGTCACTCTCCCGCCGCCGCGCACCTCCGCCCGTCACCCCCCAAGTGATACCTAAATATCGCTTCTATGCAGGCAAGGACATTTGTTCAAGATGTTTGATGGTATCTGTAATATTATTTTTGCAAGCTTTGCATACTTTTGCTCACAAGAAGAACGGAGGGGGGGATAAATTGCAGTAAATCAGCTTACGTAATACTTGAACGGTCCCTAGTGTAACTATATTTTTTTATTAATTTTAAACATTACTATTACGCACTCAAAGATTTGGCAAGCCCCAGAACCAAGGATAGAACACTAGGATGCTCAGATATAAAAATGTGTAAATTACCTGCAAATAATATAAAAACTGTTGTAGACTCTGCAAGTCAATCCTGGCCAGGTGCCCCAAAGACATTCCTTTGAAATCCACCACCATACAAAACCCTGGCCAAGTCCCTTCCTCATACTGCCAGAGATCTACCACCATCAATGTCGCCCTGAAAAAGGTTCTTTGCTCAAGACTTTGTTACACTCCCGAACCCTCTCTGTGCGATAGGGACAATAACGGGCCATTGTCCCCTTAACAAACATATTTTTGTCCTAGGAGCGACAGACAGCCCCTAGTGCAGAGGCTGTTTCAGCGCAGAGGAAACAGTCACCCACGTAGTCCTGGAATGCGAGGCTGTGGCTAAACAACGTGCAGAAATCCTCGGAACAGTGAGGTCACTCCGTGAAGCCTACGAAGTGCCTAGGAGACTTCTGTGCTTTTGGAAGGAGTTAGGCTGGCTTAGTTAGCCAGGACTTTACGCACAGCGGACCTATTGAGAGTCTAAGTGCGGAAACTGAGTCCACAAACCATAACCATAACCCTCTCCGCGTTCTTTTTAAGATGTAAAGACGGACCTATAAAAGAGAGAAATAAAATGGAAACTTACTTTACAGCTGCACTGAACACAAATAACTTCGGGTCATAGTTTATCATATGTGAGTAAAAAATAGCATAGCCTTCTTTTGTGCGTGTCGGTAGAGGGCAGACCAATCTGAAAAAGAAAACGGAGTTATAGCAAGAGGAATTATATTTGTTTTATTTTATTCGTATATTCCGTCCTTTATTGAAAAATATTATATAATCTTATATATGTAAATCTATGATGGCTTATATCAGTCGCGAAACAATAGGGTGGCAGGGCTGGCAAAATTCCACGGGCCTCCAACCCAGGAGGGCCCCATGCCCAAGAGATATTATTTTCTATGGATGAATATCAAGTCTCCAATACGCATTGGGCTATCGTGGGGACTATAGACCATTCCCTCTCGCCTAAGAGAGGAGGCCTTTGGCCATTAGTGGGACATATACAACGTGTAATTGAGTACTCTGAAAATCTCGAAATTTATTAAAATTAAACTGAAAAGATTTTTACTGATACGGCTCCATCAAAAGAATTTGCCACGGGCCCCAGATGGTATAGTTACGCCATTGGCTTATATTATAATATAAGGTGTGTTTCAAGTTGCAGCCATAGCTTAAAAACATCGTTGTGGTATTGTCCACAGTCTATTGTAAATATAATACAATTATTTTTCTATGAAAACGAACAAAACGTAATCAAATAGTCAAACTGATAGAATAGTAACAATGTTTCTTTCGTGCGAAATACACGAGCAGCGTATTGGAACGTGGGCGTGTTTGGAACTAAACGGTTGCTAACTGTAAAAAATTGTATGAAATATATACTTATTATTGTATTGAACTGAAACTTTATATATCATACAGTGCTTTTCATATTCGGCCATTATACAAATACTGTCTAAAACTATAAAATTTTCTATTTAGACACTAATAATAACAAATCTTTTACGTTAACAATTAAATAAGTAATTACGATAATGCTTTTCGCATTTTTGTCAATATAATTGTCATTCTAACCTAGAAATAGAAAAAATAACTTACGCTGTATTACAAATTTGTTCCACGTCTTCCACTCTTCTGTTCTTGAAGAAATTCGTGAAGAGTGTGCGTAGAGTGTAGTGTTGATCTAGCACTTGCTTGGTGACCCCGCTACTTCTCTCACAAGAGTGATAGGCGAAAATGAGATCTAAATCTGGAAAAAATAAATAATTTTACTAATCACTACTTTATATTTTTGGTGTGTTCAGCACATTATTTATTGTATGAGTGGTAATAGAAATAAAAATATCATGTATATAGAATAACAGAACAAGCTTCAGCGTGCGACTCTCATCTCTGAGTTCGTAGGTTCGATGCCTGCGCAAAAAACTTTCGCTCGAACGGTGAAGGAAAACATCGTGAGGAAACTGGCTTGTCCTAGAACCAAAAAGTCGACCGCGTGTGTAACAGGAGGCTGATCACCTACTTGTCTATTAAGATTAACAAACGATCATGAAACAGATACATAAATCTGAGGCCCAGGCCTAGACTGTAGCGCCACTGATTTATTTTTGTATTGAATAACACAAACATCTCTGAGGTGATTTCAAGAACGCTAAGTGCACAAGTAATTTTAGTTATCTTATTTAAATAAAAACAAGTAATTATTACTATAATTACCATTTGCTGTAGAGCTTTTTTGCATATCATTTTCCTTATCTTAATATATATATTTCTTCTGTGCGTGTGTATGTGACTGAACTTCTCTCAAACGACTGGACCGATTTTGATGAATTTTTTTGTGTTGTTCAAGGGATTGGGAATGGTTTAGATTCACAAATCAGCGCGGCAGATGGCACTGCAGTCGGTACTTTCATACTTTGCTTAATATCCTAATCGCTTTAAATATCATGCAGGACAACGTCTGTGGGGTCCACTAGTTATATATAATTATATCTTCTGTCATTTAAGAGTTCATGACAGTTGTTTTCTTATAATTGTTCGTCATGTTGGTATATTCAATGATACATCATATTTTTTGTTAAAAAAATTTAAAAGCCAATTTAATAGACATAACATTCATTACTGGCGAAATACCCACACAGAAATACACAAAATAATATTAATAATGCCTTATCAAAAAAGAAAAAATAAAGGAAAAAAATAATAATAATGTTGTTTACCTGTTATGTATTTCTCAGGCAAATGTGGTTGTGTTTTCAACCATTGCCTCAGCTCCTGGACATCGCTGGAACTGATTCCATTCTTCTTTTTGTACTCCTCTTCCAGGGGAAACTGTTGGACCTCTCCTAGTACCATTGTCTGAAGATACTGTAGTGTAATACAAAATACCTTTTAATAATAATAAGTCAAACACTGCCTGTAATTTTGGCTTATTATTACAACTCCATTAGGTTAACACTTAGAATTAAAAACTTTACTAAAGTATACTTAATTAAAAATTAAAATGTTATCATTCTATTGTTATATATGTATATTATATTGTTTTGTAAAATATGCATTAATAAGTGAGTTTAATATTCTTATCTTAATTTCATAATTAATGCACTTTTTGTTCTCGTACAATAAACGCGAAAAGTCCTTGAATCCATCATATATATTATATACCGTGGAGTGGTCAAAACAAATCAAAACAATTTTTCGTTTTACAACTGGTGGGAATAAATGTATTTATTTAAACTTTAATGTACATAGTGAAATATTGTACGTTTTCCAATTACAGCACTAGAGCGCATTTTGCGGCATAATGCTCAACGTTGAGTGTTCCAACTACAGCAACGCTTCGCACAATTGAGCACTCTCAAAACGAATGCTCTCGCAAACAATACCAACACAATGACAGAAAATTGACCAGTATTTTTCTTTAAGTTGGCATTTATCGAAATTTTCGTTAGTAAATATTATTTATTGTTGAAAAATTTGTAAGGCTTTCGTTTCATCTTAGATTTTGAAAATAATTAAAGTTATTTCAAACTGCTAAAAAAAATAAATATTAGTATGGATGAAGGTATAAATAGTTACTTTTTTATATTCCACATTTAAAATATGAATACAATTTTATTTTAAAAATCGGATCTGTAAACAAATTTACTTTACAGGATTATACTTTAGAAAAAATTGCAATGGTTTTGAAAAAGTATATATTTTTTTTAGAAATCATTAAAAAATATTACTCAAAACATAAATGATGTAAACTTCTTAGATTAAACTAAATATTTTACTGTTAATTTAGCTTGTTAATGTTAATTAACCTTATATTCTTTAAAGGTTTTCTCTTATTTCAGTAAAAAAATGTTAATGAAATAATTTGATTATTAAATTAAGCGTAAAAAGTTTTCAACCAATTATTATTGTTTACCACATTATTTATACATTAATGAGGTTGCTAACTCAATTCATACAAATTCAACATTTTTTTTACAACACTGACTTAGCGCACTCTGCTGATGCATTTGAAAACTAATTCACGTTCCAATTAAGCTTCAGCATTATGCGGCATTGTGCGGCACTGAGTCGCAAAATGCTCTGTAATTGGAAAACGCACATTATGTATAGCTATTTCAAAATATTTCGTTAATATTTTTTTACTTCAAAATCTAATATTTTTTGCACTAAATTTATTACCGATACAAGACTGCTTTAAAGTACAGAGATCAGCGTAGCCTCTTTAATTAGCGTAAGCGTAACATATAACTAAGTATTACTTAAATTACGCGTTCAATAGAAATGACGTTTATAATTAACACGGCAAAGTTCTGATACAGTTTAAATTATTGTAATGCAATGTACAATCATCATACAATTTACAATAAGTTCAAGGTTTGATTTACAACCTTATTTTACGTTTTTGTTTAGATAAATAACAATCTAGTTACAATGTCACACAGATACCCAGAACGCACCATAAGCGTTAATGCAATCAATGCTTAGTCTTGTTATTCCATTATGTACCACGAATCAAAGTTATCATGTAAGGGTTTTTAGCTGTAAGATTATAATTATATTAAAAGCCAGTCTAATATCGGCCACCATAGTGATAGGGTCTTGCATCGACCACCTTAGGATTAGGGTCTAACATCGACCAACTTAGAATAAGAGTCTCATATCGACTATAAGTTAAGAATATTAAGTGTAATTTACTTAATAAAGTTTTCCTTTTTAAAAAAACCTTTGAATACCGTCGCGATTTGACTGGCGCAGCCGGTAGGGTATCCGTCGTGATCCTGTGCCTGTGAAGACTTAAAATCAGTCTGAGTGTAGGGTTGCGCGTGTGTTTATACGCATTTAACGGATATTTTACGACCAAACAAATAAGTCATTATTGATCGCGTAATTCGACGGTAAAAGGTCAAAAAGTGAAAGAAGATTCAGCAGTTATAAATAGAAGAAATGGGTTGCAGACTTATGTGAGTAAACCTCTTCGCATTCCAACCTGTCCCATTTTATTTCCGTTTGACTGTGTATTGTGTAAAATAGATTTAAGTAATTTTAAGTTGATAAAGATTTTAATTGAAAACAAAAGAAAATTATATTGAATTAGTAAGTAAGTAAAGAATATAAATTTAAACTTTTTTTAATTAATTGTAATAAATATTTTTCTTAAAAATGCAAGAAATACGCACTATTCCAACTGATATTCTAAATATCATACCTAAGTTCGATGGGGAACAAAAACTATTAAATTTATTTTTAAAGAAAAGTGAGTATGTCATTAGAGCCTTTAGGCCAGAACGTCCGAATATAGCACAAGATATATACATATTTCATGTTATAACAAGCCGCCTTAGAGGTAAGGCGAGCCACTTAATAAGCGAGAGACAAGACATCAATAATTGGGAGGAGCTAAGAACAACTCTTATCCAACATTTCGGAGATCCTAGAACTGAAGAATGTATTTCGATTGAATTAGAAAATATTAAAATCAATCAAGGCGAGTCATATTTAAGCTTTTGTAATCGAATCCAAAGCGTCCGTAGCACATTATTTTCAAAAATTAATTTAATAGAGGACGAGAATATTAAGAACGCGAAGATGAATATATATAACCATACATGTTTAAATGTTTTCCTTTTCAATTTGCCCGAAGATATGATACGCGTTGTCCGATTACATAGATGTACAACTCTAGAAGACGCGCTCAGTGTAGTAATGGAAGAAGTAAATTTCCTTAACCAATATAAATCACGGAGTGTTAATAGACAAAAATATACTGAAAATATTAATGAAAAAAATAATTTAACACAAAATAATTCTCCACAAAATAATTTACCACAAAATAATTTATCACGAAATAATTTTTCACAAAATAATTTTAATAAGTTTAATCAATTACCCCAATACCAAAATAAGCCTCCAATGAATTTCAAATTCGGAATACAATCACAACAACAACCTCAAGGATTTAAACCTAATTTCTCTAATTTTAAATTCGGTACCAACCAAAAGCAAGGGATATATAATCCTAATAATCCTAATAATCCTAATAATTCACAATTTAAGTTTGGTGGTGGACCACCTCAATTTGGATACAGGCAATTCCCCCAAACAGCGAATCAACAACAATTTAAATTTGGTATCCCACAAAATCATCAACCAAAACCGGTGCATAGATATGATAACGATGTATCGATGCGAACGGCGCCTCAAGCTAAGCCAAATTTTATAACACCAAGAACATCAAATAATTTAACCGAAGTAATACATTTAAATCATCACCGTGCTTTAAAGTTGCCACATATTGAAATTCCCGAAATAAATAGTAAGTTTATGATAGACACAGGTAGTTCAAGATCCTTTATAAGTCCTGAAATAGTAAATAAGTATTTGACAGAATTTAAATATTATGAGCCATTCGAAGTCGTGAGTACACACGCACAGAGTCACCATAACGAAGTAATTTATATACCCCTCTTTAAAACTTTTTGTAGTACAGATTATCATAAATTTTATATCTATAATGTGGATAGCGATTATGGCGGTTTAATAGGATCAGACCTATTAAAACAACTTGACGCTAATATAGACATGAAAAATCAAATTTTAAAAACTCGTGACACAGAAATACCGATTATTTATAGTCCACCATTTGTCATTAATGTTGATGCACGATCTGAAACTCGTGTTAAGGTTCCTGTTAATCTTCCCAATGGACAAGCAATATTAAATTCAATTAATTTTGGTAAAGGTATAAGAACACCATCTGCTCTTGTAAAATGCGAAAACGGTTATGCTACCACTATAATACAGAATGCATCTGATAAAAACTATAAAATTAAATTCACTAAACCTCTAATGGTTACAAGTTACAATAATTTGTGTTTTGAATATAGAGATATTTTTTACAGCGAGCATAGACCATTAAGTTTTTCTAATCAAGTTAAGCATAAAACTCGTATTAAATTAAATGCTTTAGGTAAAAACGATAAAGATAATCAATCAATGAAAGTAAATGTAGGAAACTCTGATAGAAATCTTGATTACTATATTCAAGAATTAACCGATTCAATAACACGATTAGGACAAAACAACCAAAGTAAAGAACCTGAAAATGATAACAGTAACTCTATGTCTTTTTCTGAAATATCTAGGTCTATTCCATCTCGAGTTAATTCCAGGTCATCATCACGCACATTAACAATAAACTCTAGTACAGATACAGCACATTCTGCTGAAGATATGGATACAGATGGCATTCCCATACTTTACGAAGCTATAGATACAAAACCAAACCAAATATTAATATACCCATGGTTTAAAAATGAACTTTCAGTTAAAATTCGTTCACATCCCAAGCAAAAGATTTTAGAGGTTCACTTACCCCTAGATAATTCCGAGTTAATAAAAAAATTTCTTAAAGAATATATTAGACCCAAAATTAAATACTTTATCTATTACGAAAATAAAGCACACCGACAATTATTCACACAAGTATTAATTTCATTATTTAGAAAAGAAACCGTAAAGCTTTATGAATGCACTGAAAGAGTAATTAATGTCACTGACGAAAAAGAACAAGAGGAAATAGTAATGAAGTATCACGTAGGCAAAACCTGTCACCGAGGTATTAAAGAAACAATTTCTCATTTAAAACGAGTTTATTTTTGGACAAATTTAGAAGAAACCGTAACCAGTTTAATAAATTCATGCGACACTTGTAAACGTATGAAATACGATCGTAGACCATTTAAACCTCAATTACAACTTACACAAACTCAATCAAGACCTTTTCAAGAATTATTTATAGATTTATTCTCCATAGAAGGAAAATATTACTTAACCATATTAGACGCATTTAGTAA